GTGTTTGCTTCACTGTCTGGCTGTAATCTGAGCTTCTAGAACAATGGCTTTAAAAGCACAGGAAAGGGTGACAGTTGGCCTCCCACCATGGTGGCTTTCTGTACAGCTGGGCTCATCGCGGAAGGATCAGCTTTTAGCACCCATGGGACATGACACGTATCCTGCGGCTGCACTCCCTGTGGACCCTTCTGTCCGGTGTCACCACCTCATCTTGGGCTGCCTGGGGACCATCTGATTTTAGAACCAAAAGTTCTGTGTCCCGAAAGCCTAGAAGTCCCAGAAGCCAGGATGATGGCCCCCTTGTCGCCTAGCTTATTTTGGAAATAGACAGCGCAGTGGTCACTGTTGCTTTTCTTGCATCCAGTGTAAGAAAAGCCTGAGTGTTACAGCCAGGTGGGAGGGTATGCAGTCGCGAAAAGGAAAGAAATTCTGATGCCTGCTGCAACGTGGATGCCCCTGGGGACGTTGTACTCAGGGAAGACAGCCGTGCACGAAGGGCAGACACTCCATGTGCCCCAGGTACGTGCGTTCCTATACAGCACATAGAGCAGTGCGCACACACACAGTAGCGAGACTCTCAGGGACAGAGCGAAGGGTTACTGTTTCATGGGTAGAGTTTCAGGTTCGCAAGATGAAAAGAATTCTGGAAATGAATGATTACACAACAATGTGAATGTGCTCAATACCAGTGCGCTGTGCACTTCAAAAGGGTTTAAGTGGTAAGTTTTATGTTTCGTGTATTTTACCCTTGTAGAATAAAAAGATGATCCATTGGGTGTCATAAATACTGTTTTGTACGATGCAGCGAAGTGGTATTTAAATTAAATGTGCACATGAGGAAGCTGTGCGCACAAGGTACTCACCAGAGGAAGACATTAGGGAAGAGCAGCATGGTCCATTCTGAACTTAGTTTACAAGCGCCTCAATCCCTACCACCCTCAACCTGCCGATTCCACAGCCCCTCGTGACCTCGTCTGCTCCGCAGAGGCTGGCCGACTGCAGTCCAGGAGGGCTCAGTCCAGTGCCTTCCGCGGTCTGTGTGTGCCCAGCAGTGTCAGTGCGAGATCCTGAGTCGTGATGTTCACAAAACTCCTGTGTGTAACCTTGACCTTAACCTGTGACCTTAACCACATTCTTGGCCTTCAGGGAGTCTGTCCACCCTTCTTCCAAGTGTGGACTGAGCCCTTCCTTTGGGCCAGGAGCCGTTCCCAGCATCCCGCATTGGGAAGGCGTCGGGGCAACAAGAGTGCCGGAAGGGAGGGATCCAGAGAAGCACAGCTGGTTCTGTGTTCAGCTTCTGCATAGCGGAGACGGGGCAGGTCCTGGCCCCTCTCGCCCATCACCCGCTGCCAGCAGACAGGTCTTGCTTGGCTGCACCGCTTTGTGCCTTCTTCACACAGCCAGGGTGCCTGGGTGCTGGAGGGCCCTGCGAGTGGTGCGCCCTGCTTTCTGTGAGTCTTCGTGCTCAGAGTTACTACATACACGTGCATAAGAGACACACTGTGGTGCCACGGCCCTCCGGGAGCCAGTGCCTACCTCTGGTACCGGCTGGGAGACACAGAGCCAGTCCCTACTCTGGGCTGCTTCCCACACCACATTCTACAGGCTGTTCTGCAGTCTTTTGTTTTGTTTTGTTTTGACAGGTAGAGTGGACAGTGAGAGAGACAGAGAGAAAGGTCTTCCTTTTTCCGCCGGTTCACCCTCCAATGGCTGCTGCAGCCAGTGCACCATGCTGATCCGAAGCCAGGAGCCAGGTGCTTCTCCTGGTCTCCCATGTGGGTGCAGGGTCCAAGGACCTGGGCCATCCTCCACTGCACTCCCAGGCCACAGCAGAGAGCTGGAGAGGAAGAGGAGCGACTGGGACAGAATCCAGTGCCCCAACCGGGACTAGAACCCGGTGTGCTGGCGCTGCAGGTGGAGGATTAGCCTAGTGAGCCGCAGCGCCGGCCCTGCAGGTCTTGTGTTCAGATCAGGTTGGATCTTTTCACTGCTTTCCCCAGTTCAAAATGTCTTCAGATTCTGATGTTCCAGATGACAGTCATTGATGCTATGAAATAATAGCTAATGTTTTTCAAGGGCTCATGCTATGCTAGGTGCTACTGCACAGGTCCTACCATGCATGAGTTAACTTAGTACTCCGAACAGCACAGGCTTGTGAAGGTAAAAGTAACCTATTCCAAGGCCAAGTCTGGGCTTTTCTAAAGAGCCTGCAGGGTGCCCGTGAAGATGGGAGGAAGAGACTTGATCCTCTCTACGCATACCTGACATATAGCAGTGCCTCTGGGCCCCTGGGAATCTCATTCAAAGGCAGAGGAACACAGTAGCTCTTGGGCGGGGCCTGAGATGCTGCACGTCTGTGCACAGCGAGCCGAGGCTGCACACCAGGCTGTGAGCAGGGAGACATCAGAGCACCTGCCACTGTTCTGCACCTGGGGTGGAAGTCACTCACCCACTCATTCACTCTCCATCACTTTCCAAAGCAGCCCCATGGTGGAGAGCGCTGGCCACGACATGTGTGACTGGGTTCCTGTCCTGGTTCTGTGCTATCCCTGAGTCTCAGCCACCCATCTTTAAAATGGGAATGCAGCTTGAAGTCAAAATCATCTTTGTGAATATCAAGTGCAGGGAAATCGGACAGAAGTCTTCCCCAGGGCCTAGGACGCGATGTTCACTCACTAAAGGGCTGTGGTCTGAGAGCTTATGTTGTTACTCATTTATATTTGCATTCAACCAGAATCCCCATACGGTTCCCAGGAAGTTCGTTTTCAGCCTTCGTTCCTGAGTTATTTATTTCACAATGGATTTCTCGGCGGCTCTGATAGCCGCAGCAGCGGACCTCAGACCCCAGTTCCCATCAGGAAGTAGACGAAGAGACGTGACTCCTAATCACAGGAGAAAAGGGTACGAGGAAGCTGATGGAGAGACAGACACCAAGGATGCACTCCGGGAGCCACTTGGCCAATGGCTGCCTCCTGAAAGGAGGAGGGAGAAATGTGTGCGGCTGGGAGAGCACGCGCGAGAGCCAGGAACGGGGTAAAATGTCAACATATTCGCAAGCTGTTAATTATCTGGAGAGAACTAAATATTATGTAGGCAATTATCGACAGGCGTCTGAAAGCAACAATGGGAAAACTTGGTCCCCAGCCGAATTCCCTCTCCCTCGGAGAAGGGCTGGGGAGACAGGCGTTGGCATTTAGAGCAGACACTTTACACAGAGGGTGAGCCAGGGGCCCGGGGCTCCTGGAGCATGGGGGGTAGACAGTGGTCCCCCAGCCCCACCCATGCAACCCCTCCAGCAAAAATCCCTTACAGTGCACACAGCACTTAGCTTTGCAAAGTGTCTTTATCCACGAGCTCTGAGCCTGGAAACCACTGCCCCCCCAACCTCCCTCCCTCCCCCAAAATGTCATCTTTTGAGACGATTTCATGTGGAAGCATTGCTAAGTAAATTCGCTAAATGCCTATTCATCCCTGTCAGATGGGGGCTCGGTGAAGCGAGAAATGCGAAAATGGCCCCAGCTCACGGCCCTGAAAGGCGCTTTCTGGGGTTGCCAAATGGAGCTGCAGCGCCTGACCCAGGGGGGGCCCTGGGAGCCCCGGTCCTGGCCCCTTCAATCCTCCCTTCTGCATTATTCCTGCTGCCCGGGCCTCATTCAGAGGTTAACTTGTCCCGCATTCATCAGGACGACAATAATGAACTGTCGCACAGAGTGGCTGAGCTGAGACAGGCGGGCGGAGGGGCCCCTTCATGGGCGCTCAGCACTGGCTGGTTTCGTTTCCCCTTCTAGCTGCCGGGCCTCCCAAGCTCCAGGTACCTGGGTCTGGGGCCCGGGGGCGCACGGTGGGGCTCGCGGACACGTGGCACCACCTCCGTGCGCACACCGCACACCGGCGGGGCTGGGCTTGGTGCGTGCGCCTGGATTTGCCTCGCTGCTGACACCCGGGTTCCTATGGTGTCTGCCGCCCGCAGCGGCTGGGCTGGGGTCAGTGTTTATTTCAGCCACAGGATGGGGCCTCGGCTATGCGGCAGCCACGGCTCTGCGCCCCCTCCGCTGGAATTATGAGTTGGTCAACATGAGCCATCCAATGAGAGAGCAGGGGGCTCTGGGTGGCGAGACTGCAGAGACGCGGGAAGTGAGGGAGGAGGCGGCGCTGGGAGGAGAGAGAACAGCCTTGTGTGGGCTCTCAAAGCGCGCGGCTGCCTGTTCTGTAGATGAGGGGCCTGCTCTGTGCTGTGCAGGTTTAATTCTCTGAGTTTAGAGCAGGCCACCGTTCAGGGAGGTTAAATGACTTCTCCTTGGATACACAGCTGGCTTAGCCGTGCAGCTGGAGTCTGTCCCCAGAACTTTTTACTTCCGGATCCCAGGCACGGTCTCATTCCCATTTCTCAGAAGTCTAGCCTGCATCGGATTCCCAGGGGTGCTCTCCCTTTCCACCGCCTCCACTGATTCTCCCAGTTGGAAACAGTGGTTAACCCTTTCCAGTAAGGAGCTGTCACATCAGGCCCCGTTTACCTGTTGGGGTTTATTCAGCGAAGAGGCGACTGATGCTGGCAGATGGGACCTGTGTGACTGCCTTTTAAAATACTGTCACAGTGTACGCACAAGCTGATTAGCTGTGACTGCACTGCTAGTCCCAAGATTGATGGCGATACATCTGGGCTAACAACGCCGGGAACGATGTCCGCCACTTGTATCGTACTTCATATTTTTTAAAGCTCTCACAGTCAGTAGCCCAGTGGTTCCTGAGGACCCGGTGCATGGCTTCATTGATGAATTCGCTGCTCAGAGTATATTTGAAGGAGTCAGTTCAGACTTGCGTTCATTCAGTCATTCAACAAACATTAATGCAGCTCCTACTGTGCGCCAGTTGTGGATGGGCCTGACTAGGTTCCGTCAAAGAAGCTTATGTGGCAACATAAGCAAGTTCGGTGGCTCTCGGGTGGTAAAAGAAAATTATGAAAATTATGAAGAAACTGCTGTTATTGGGGGAGGGGAGGGGAGGAGAAGTGCAGGTTTCCCCCTGAGTGACCTAAAAAAGCCTCTTCGATAAGTTGACATTTGAAAGGAGATGCAGATGACAAGAACAGGCCAAGGATGGAGAAACACAGGGCAGAGTTTCCCAGGAACAAGCAAGTGCAAAGACTCTGAGGTTGCTATGTATTTGACATTTGGGCTGTGCACTGGCGACCTCCTGTTTGCCAAGCCCAGGGCTAGCCACTGGAGATGCCAAAACATGTAAGATGTTTGGCTTGCTCTCAAGAGTTCCTGGTCAAACACAGCCCATGAGAAAAAAAAAAAAAATCCAAGCAGTCCTTTGTCATATGGGGATGGCGACACATAAAGAAGATGCCTTATCAGCCCGAGTGTTGTGATCAGCAAAGGCGATTCAGGCAGGACACAGAGAGGGAAGCCTGGTTTCCATGACACAGGGAGCTGGGACTCCAGGTCCCTGTGGTCTCGCGAGGACCCTGACCTTCTTCTTGGTTTGTTTCCACAGGACGAACGACCAGCTGGTGGCATTTCTCTCCCGATACCGAGATATGAATTTCTTGAAGTCGCACGGCCGGGACAATGCAAGGTAGTGTATCACCCCCTACCTCTGTGCAAAGCAGAAATGGGAAGTGTTGAGTGATCACTTGGTGGCCTCCTTCTTGGCTGGTTTGATGCCACTAGAGAAAGGTGGAGGATGGGAGGAGGGCCTGGCATGACAGGCCGTGGCCATGTGCATTTAGACACTGCAGTAGCCCCTCTTGTCGGCTGTGGACAGGGGGAGAGTGGATATATCTCATAATGTCATAGGCATCTACGTATCTCATAATGTTATAGGCATCTATGTCTCTCATAATGTCATAGGCATCTATGTGTTTCTTTTTTTTTAAGATTATGTATTTATTTGAAAGGCAGAGTTGCAAAGAGGCAGAGGCAGAGAGAGAAAGAGGTCTTCTATCCGCTGGTTCATTCCCCAGATGGCCACAGTGGCCAGAGCTGCACTGATTTGAAGTCAGGAGCCAGGAGCTTCTTCCAAATCTCTCACGTGGGTACAGGGACCCAAGGACTTGGGCCATCTTCTACTGCTTTCCCAGGCCATAGCAGAGAGCTGGATCGGAAGTGGAGCAGCCAGGACTAGAATCAGTGCCTACCTGGGATGCTGGCACTGCAGGAGGTGGCTTTACCCGCTGCACCACAGCACTGGCCACTACATATTTCATAATGTCTTAGGCATCTATGTCTCTTTTAGCCCCATGCACTTTTATTAGTCCATTATCTAACCCTTTGACGAAGGCAGCTGTGAATTCCCATTTAATTGGTGGGAAGACTGAGGTTCGCAGTCCAGCTGGTATTCCCAAGGTCATTCATTCAGTCAGCCAGTTATTCAACAAGTGTTTGCTGAGTGCCAGGCACTGTTCCAGCAGCAAACAAGACCACGTCCTGGCATAGCATTTACAAGAATCTCGTGTCAACAGACTCGAACCCAGGAGCCCAGCTCGCAGCCCTGGTCCTCCCCTCTGCTTCACGTCCGCTCAGGACATCAGCAGAGATTAGAAGCAGCAGAAACCACTAAGTTCCAGCACTGAGCGGAGCCCAGTTAAAAGCAATACAGTCTTGAGCGCCCCCTATAGGGGAGATCTGAATTCCAGCCTTGAACTGGGAGCTTAACGTGCAGCTCGTAGGATACTTTCAGCTTGCCCTGTGCTTTGCTCGGCCCTCAAGGTGGTTTTTCAGTTTTTCTTTCCCTCTCCCTCCCTCCCTGACTCAGTTTACCCAGTTATGCACAGCGGGGGATGGGGACGAAAGCAAACAGTGAACTTCATTTCCAAGAAGTCGCCCCGAGTCCTCCTGTCATGTCACTTTCCTGAATTTTCGCTCTGATTGCCTTCGGCTGGCTGTGTGTAGATTCTTGCTGTCCTACTCACAGCCTGCCTCCCCCAGTTTAAAAGCAGACATTGGACTTGAATATGCTCTTTAAATTAGCACATATTACCACAGCAGAGCAGCCTGGCCAGGAAGACAAGGGTAACAGCCCGTGTGTTGTGCTCCTACTGAGTACCCATCACTCCACGAGCCCTTTGGCCCATTTCATACAAGAGCCAATGCCATACCCACAGCCACCAATGCGTCGGGAGGAATTATTATTCCCATTTGTTGGGAGATAAAAGGGAAGTTTCAGGAGTCCAGATGGTTTTTCCCCAAGATCACATAGCTGGACAACGGCTAGAATTTGAACGCGGGTCTTTCTGGTCCTCAAGCCGTGGGGACAGAGTGGGACTGAGCAGGATCCTGTAGAGGTGATGAGATGTCAGATATTTCTGCCCCTCCAGGTAGGCTCCAGGACACGATTTGTATCACGAGAAAGGCTCTCGTCTTCAATGTATCAGCTTGTGTCTAACTCCATCCACCCCAGAGTCAGTGCTACAGCCTAGTCAGTGTTTAGTCCCTCTGATCTGTCGCTCAGACACTGTGCTTAGAACTGTGGCTAGCACGAGTTAAAAGCATGGACTTCGAGGTTACACCTCCTGGGTTAGATTTACTATGTCCTCCCTGTGCTGCGTTAGCTGGTGACTTAACCTGTCTGAACCTGTTCCCTTAGCTGTATGACGGAAATATGAGTAAACTGACACTCATGGGATTGTTGGGAAGATTAAAGAGAGGTTGCATATCAAGCATTTGGTAGAGTGAATGCCCGTGTTCATGAAGAGGACGCTAATGTCGTTGTCGCAATAAGCATAGGACTAAAATGTTGCTAGCAGGAGAAAGAAATACAGGGGAATTTTAGGAAGTTCATGGAAAGTCACATTAAAAGATAAGTTTATATTGATGCAAAACGTTTTGAAATGAATGCATAGTTTTTCATAACAAGCATTTTCCATGAACTCTTTGAAGGTCCTTATATGCATGGATTTCAAAAGTGTTTTGCACCAAAGTAAATGTATCTTTTGACGCCATCCTCCGCAGATACTCTGAAGTGCCCTTGTTGAAGGTGCGTGGGCCTGCGTTGTGACTCTGGGCATTGGAGTCCATCCTGTGTCATTGATGGGAATCAGTAGTTGGCAGGTGGCAGGTGGTACCCACATGGCACAGGACAAAGGCACAGGCTGAGGAATTGCTACTTGTACCTCCTTCCACAACCCCCAAACCCAGAGCTCTCTGGACAGACAAGGTCACAACTTCCAACACTCGAGCCCCCACTTGGATTCTCCCATTTACATGAATAAAGGGTGGTAATTTAGCATTAATTTAATAGCAGAAGAAGCCAATGAACCATCATCCTCTATGCTCTCCTCTCGGGTAGCTCAGGTCTGCTACCTGCCAAGCCTCAGCTAGCCCAGTCTCCCATCGTCTCTCCCAAGCATGCAGAACCAGCCATGGCTTATCTCTGGTTCCCTCCCCGGTGGTGTGTTAGAAAGACCTCTTTTGATGGGAAATGACAGAAAGCCAGTTCAAACCAGCTAAGGATAAGGAAGGTTTTAGGGACTGGCTTCAGGTGTGGCTGAGTCAAGCAGCTCCAATGTTAACAGCAAACCCAGACTCTATTTGTTCCGTTTCCCTGTGTCAGCTTAGTTTTCTGACACCAGGTACCAACTCTGGGCAACTTATTAGCCCCATTTTACCACTAAGCAGACAGAGAGTCAAAGAAGTGAGGCAAGCTGCTTGAGCTAACACAGCTAGGGCAGCGCCAGGGCCCACGCCCGGTGAGTGTGTCCAGAGTCCAGGCCTGGCTCCTGCATGATTCAGCCTCTTTGTGCTCCAGCCCGGCTCTCTGCCAACGCACGAGGTGGTTGTGTGGCTTCTCTGAGCTTTATTTTCTCAATAAAGAGGTTAAACGAGATGATCTCCAAAGCCCCTTCCCTCTCTGCTGTTCCGTGTTTCTGGAACAGAAACAACCCCTACAAAAGAGGAGGTGACAAAAGCAGAGAGGACTTGAAAGGCAGAGAGATGGGGAGGGACGAAAGCAAACAGTGAGATAGAAAATGGGCCACAGGGTGCCTGGGTTTGCAGGTCCACGTGACTCCTAATGGAAATGCTGACCTTCTGTCCTCATCTGCAGCCTTCGGCAGCCAATTTGGACTTCCAGCTCCCGCTGTGAAAAGATGGTATAAAGGCAAACTAGGATTTTAATCGCTGCCAAATTGGTCCTGACTGTTCCTGTAATTAAATGAAGGGGAGTGTTGTGTTCACTGTTTCTCCTTGCTTCCCTCCAAAAATAAAGTAACCGGATATATTGACAGACATGCAGCACGGGCATCATTTTCCCCGAGAACAGGAGCAAAGCTACCAGACGCAGGTGCACTAAGGTTCACCCTCAGCCTGAGGAAGCAGGTCTTTGGAGATGGCCCCAGGAGCTCCTGGTCCTCACTCATGGGCATTAGAGATGTTTTTCAGCTCATTCATGGTCACCAGGAACCCAGTGGTCACACCCACACTGGGGCAAGAACGTAGATCAGGCTGCAGTCCAGCCACCCATGTCAAAGGTCACTTCCACCATGCAGCGACCAGGGAGCTGCAGCAAATGGGTTCAACTGGCCATGTCTCAGTTTCCCCATTTACACAATCCAGGCAGTGATGGGTTTGGGGGGATTTCACATCCTCACTGGCCGCAAGAAGGCACTGGGCTGAGCAGCCAAGAGCGTTCAAGTCCATTATCTCCCATCAGCCTAGTTGGCAGGTGTTACCTCATTTTAGAAATGAGAGTAACAGATACGGGGAGTTGCTTTACCTTGTTCACGGTCACATGGGTATTGGACAACAGAGCTGGAACTGGACCCTGGTTTGGTTTGACTTTAAGGCTCATGTTCTTCTGGTACCGCATGGTCAGTGAGCGCATTTCAGAGACCCTGAACTTTTACATTCTTGGGGTGCACTGATCAAAGAGCAAAATCCTGCTAACTTCAAACAGAATTTTTTTTCACAACAGTAAGGACAGGTCCTTCCCCTACATCCTAGAGTCAGCATTTTCCAAAGTGTATCCATGAACCACCAGTGACGTGACGCTCTTTCTGGTCATTTGTAAATGGGCATGCAGGGGACGTTAGGTATTGATCGCCGGTGCATCAGTAGGCATGTGGAATTATCCCATCTAGCCATGAGTGTATGGATCGCATGCTTACAATAAGGCTGAGTTGAAGAAATAGACGTTGTTTTCAGTGGGCATCACGATAACTCTTAAGGGGCTCCCCTGCAGATGCTGTATCAAGCACATAGCCGAGGGCTTAAGAATTCAGGCTCTGGGGCTGGACTCTCAGGACTCCACAACCTCTGAGCACCCACTGGGTGTGTGACCTCAACTATCAGTTTCTTCGCCTGTAAAATGGGAATAGTGATAACAACACCAACGCTGTAGAGTTGTGGCGAGCATTACATGAGGCCTTAGAGGGATAAGCGCTTGGAACATTTCATTGTGCCTGTGAAGTTGGTAACAGTGGTGGTGGTGGTGACAGTGGTGATGATGATGATGATGGAAGAAGAAATGAAAAGAATCTTGAAGATGAGACACAACTGATGAGCACTTTAACAAACAGCTTTGGCGTCTGTGAGAGAAATGACCGGCCTTGTGTAAGAAGTCTAGGTAGGGAGGCAGCA